TATCTGCAACCCCCGCCTTCCTTATCTTCTCCTTTTTTCTCCTTGAAAAAGGTGTTATATCCTCTTAAAGTTAATCCCTCTACCTGAACTCAGATCCCTTCTAATCTCCCCAAAGGAGAGGTCTGTTCCATTACTTATTCCTTCTCATGCATGTATTTTCAATCTCAGCTTCTCTTCTTACTCCTATGCTATATACTTACAGCATACTCATGTAAGCCTGCTCATATCAATCTCATCCTTAACTTTTTTTCCCCTCTGTTTTCTTTCCTTACCTCCACTTTTTTACCTCTACTTTCTGACTTCAATTTTTCACACCTCAATCTGTATTCTCTGTTTTTTCAATCTACCGAAATCACTAGTCAACTAATTTTGAAATCTAATGATGCAGTCATAGAATAGAACCATTCCATGCAACCATTTAAAAGAAAGAGAATAATCTGTATGTGGGAATGTGGGATGAACTGGAAATTAGGTGTTATGTGGGGGGGGAGCTACCTGTTGTGTATGTGTATAGTATTATACCAATTGTGTGTTATGTCTGTAGTCTTCAGGAGAGAGATAGGCAGATTGATGGGTAAAAACGACATAGGAGGTTTGACAATTAAGTACTTGAACTTGATACAGGATTTCCCCCATTCAGGGCTGGACAGGAACTCTCCTTTTTTAGGCCTGGGCAAACAGATATTTTTTCACAAACAGCGATTTCTGGATGCAAGCAGGATTTTATCAGGGCTGGCCCCTCCTGGAGTGAAAAGTATACACCCTGTGCAGAGGACAGGAACTGTGAGGACTTCTTTAATTTGCTAATACATTCATCCGCTAATCTACAGGAACTAGATGCTGTTTATCCGTTAGCTCCTGGCCAAATGTAACATACCTTCCCCCTGCTCTCAAGCAGTATATGAACCCATATACAAAAGACTAACATGGCTCTTCCCATTTGGGTATTCCTACCCTCCACTGCTGGAGGCTTCATTACTCTTCTTTCTATGTCCTTCTCTGTAAAATAAATTTTGTCCTGCCAGTTACTTGCATGGTCTGGGGTTTCGTTCTTGAATCTACAGACCAACGACCTGTCTCGGAAAGAAAAATACTAGTAACAAACTCATCCTAGTAAAAGTGCTACATACCTCATTGCTGAGTATCACTATGGTCACTTTTGAAGTATTCCCCTTGGGAAGCTATGTGCTGATTGATACCAGCACCTACTCCATCCTTCAAAGCAATTTCAGAACTCTTTTTCTGGAATGGCCATCAGAGCTGTCATCATATTACCCTTGACGTCCTAAATATCATCAAAATGTCTTCCTTTAAAAGGAATGAGTGCCTGAATGTCCCACCCAAGAAGAAATGAATGCACCAATCCCTACCCCTTTGAAATGTATATTCCCATCAACCTTAACCCATGTGCTGACTTCCTTTTCAAAGTCAGCTCACTTGCACCAGAATGGAATAAAGTCCAAGTTGCCCACACAGAACCTGGACTCTGATTCCTTTTGTTCACATCTCAGACTATTTCTCATTTTTGATCTTTAACCTGTCACCTTTCAATATTTCCTTCATCTTTGGATAAAGAAAAAAGTCACTGGGGGACCAGGTGCAGGGGCTCACACCTGTAATCCTAGCACTTGGGAGGTCTAGGTGGGTGGATTACGTGAGCTCATAGGTTCAAAACCAGCCTGAGCCAGAGCGAGACCTCATCTCAAAAAATAGCCAGGTGTTGTGGCAGGCACCTGTAGTCCCAGCTTGTGAGGCTGAGGCAAAAGAATCTCTTCAATCCAAGAGTTTGAAGTTATGATGAGCTATGACACCACAGCACTCTACCATGGGAGACACAGTGAGACTCAGTCTCAAAAAAATTCCCTCACAGACAGTGCTATGTGAGCTGGTATGTTGTCGTGATTCAAGAGCCATGAGTTGGTGAAAAGTTCGAGTTGTTTTCATCTAACGTTTTCACACAGCCTTTTCAGCACTTCTAAATAGTAAACATGGTTAACTATGCAGTTGGTGCAAATTGATAATGAATGATCCCTCTGACATCAGAAAAGGTTAGCAACATAGTTTCAACTTTTTATTTTGGATTGACAACTATTTTGGTCATGGAGAATTGGCTGACTTGCATTGTGCACTTTGACACTTTGTTTCAGGATGGTATTGGTACACCCACATTTCATCACCAATAATAGCACAGCCCAAAACATCATCTTACCTCTCCAAAAGGTCTTGTCAAACTTTGACTCGCCTTTGCTTTTGTTCATCAGTGAGGTTCTCAGGACTATTTTTGCGCACACCTTTCTCCTGCCAAGATTTTCAGTTAAGATTTTCCTAAATGTTACTCCATTGATGTTTACTTGGTCTGCTATGTTTCTCACAGTAGCTGATAATTTTGACACACAAGTCAATGAACTTTTGCAATGTTGCATCAGTTCTGCTTGTTACTGGCTGCTCTGACTTCCTCTCCCCACAGAATAAGGTTTAATCAAGGCCAGGTGCTGTTGTTCACACCTGTAATCCTAGCACTCTGGGAGGCTGAGGCAGGTAGATTGCTTGAACTCAAAAATTCAAGACCAGCCTGAGCCAGATCAAGACTCCGTCTCTAAATATAGCCAGGTGTTGCAATGGGCACCTGTAGTCCCTGCTACTTGAGAGGCTGAGGCAAGAGAATCACTTGAGGCCAAGAGTTTGAGGTTGCTATGAACTATGACACCACAGCACGCTACCAAGGGTGACAAAGTGAGACTCAGTGTCAAAACAAAAACAAAAACATATAATCCATTTGTACACTGCTATTTTCTTCATGGCATTATCCCCATAAACTTGGACTAACATGTCCCTGATTTCACTTCCAGTCTTGTCAAGTTTAATAAGAAATTTAACATTTGTCCAGTGCTCTAACTGAAGCTCTGATATTCTCACAATGGCACACAAAAACATGCAACAATAGTGAACACCACTTAGCAAGACACTGGCACATGTCAACAATAACACAGCTATGAGACACTGATAATCCAAGATTGTGAAACCTTACTGAGCTGTTTGTACAGTGCTGCCAACATAAGCCAAAGGTGACAAGTTTGTGAACTTAAATATCAGATCTGTCTATACAGGTATTAGCTCTGAAAGGATACATTAAAGAGTGGCTACC